ACATGACTGCAGTTTTTATCAGCTTAAAATCAAATCATGTTTAGCCTCACCAAACTGCGAAAGATAAAGAGTTCGTACAAAAAAAATGTCACCCTTCTGGACTGTATTATATTATTCTGTAATTTTTTCTTTTGAATATCTCTGCTCTGCATTATAGGCCTACCACTTGCGGTTGCAGTGAGAAAACAAAGAGGAAGAGTGACAAATAAACGTGTCACTTTCTCACGACCCACCTTAATTCTGTTTTTTTTGTTTTCTGACCCCCCCGGACCCCCCAATACAGTAAAACTGAGTGTGAGAGTTAGAGTGGCCTTTTATTGTGGCCAGCCTAAGGCACACCTGTGCAATAATCATGCTGTCTAATCAGCATCTTGATATGCCACACCTGTGAGGTGGATGGATTATCTCGGCAAAGGAGAAGTGCTCACTAACACAGATTTAGACAGATTTGTGAACAATATTTGAGAGAAATAGGCCTTTTGTGTACATAGAAAAAGTCTTAGATCTTTGAGTTCAGCTCATGAAAAATGGGGGCAAAAACAAAAGTGTTGTGTTTATAATTTTGTTCAGTGTATATATATATATATACACACACATATATACAATTACAAAGTATACACTCTAAAAAATGCTGGGTTCAAAACAACCCAACAGCTGGGGTTGTCCCTTTTTTACCCAGCGTTGAGTTATATTTAACCCAGCATTTTTTAGAGTGTACATATATATAAATATGTAAAATAAAAATATATATGTACAATAAAAATAGAGTCAGAAAGATATTTCTAGTGTTCAAAATCAAATTGTTTTAATCAAAAATGTTCTTATTAAAAAACGTGCGCAAAATGTCAGGCAAATGAATGAAAACAGTAACATTTGAAAACCAGTTAATGGTATTGCACTCAATGAGCCTCATTAATGAGACATGAAATCATGAGCAGAATGAGCAATTTAAACAAAGGTTGGCAAACAGTTTACATAGAAATGTGTTCTGCTCATGTTTCATGAATCCATTTGAAAAATGTTTTTAAAGTTGTAAATAAAACCAAGGTTATTGGAGTATCTTTTGCAAGAAAATGCCATTTCAGTCTTTTTTTTACTTTAAATTCAATCTGTTAATTAGAATTCTGTGTAATTATTTCTAAACATTTATTTCTAAACCCTACACCATTTTTTTTCATTGTGAGGCTTGATTTGTGTGATTGTGAGTTTATGTTCTTTGAACCATCAAGGCCAAAAATCATTTAACATTCATCTCAATGTAGAAGCAAAATTCTGAATTGTTTCTTAAAGAAATCAATAAATAACTTATATTGATATATTGATATATTAAAAAAACATAGAGGATTGGTGTGAATCTCAGGCCGGTTTTGAGCTGAAAACCGCGGGCCTGCACTATTTATAGAGGAGCTTCTTCTAAAAGCCCCAGCAGGAGCAGGACTGGAGGAGGGCGTGTGTCGATTCACACAAACACACCCTGCACTTTCAGAGGGCAAGATTGAGTCAAAAGGTGTGAAACCACACGTCCGAGAGAGATAGAGATGGACGCTTTTTCTGTCGCATGAACATGTGGGGCTCAAAATGAGCACTAATTCTCACAGAAACATGTATAAACAACAGAACAATAATGTGCGTAACTTATCATAAGATTCAGTCCTCATGAATCTGTGCTAAACGATTATGAGAGACACAAAACTTGATATTCAAATACTAAACAGCGTTTGCTTAGATGCAGGGTTATCAAAGGTAAATAAAACTAAATCAAAAATTAAAACCTTAAAAAATGGTTTGTATGTATGTATATATATATATATATATATATACACACACACACACATAACAAAAACTACTGAAAATGACAAACACAAAAGCTAAAAACAGGATAGTCAGTTTATTTATTTATTGGTCATTGGCACAATATTTTTTTATGGCATTCAAATGAATGTGTTTACATGACAGAATTAAGAGCAGAGCCTAAGCAATAAGAAAGTTGGAACTATAATGCTGAAGTTTAGAGGTTGCATTAAAAAAAAACACACACAAGAAGTGTTTGTGATAGCAGAAAATAGAATTATGTTTCTGAGGCACCAAAAAACTGGATGAATCTGAATATTAATGGAATAATTCACCCAAAATAAAATAAAATAAATTAAATTTAAAAAAATTGCATCACCTTAACAGTCATTCCAAACCTGTTTTGAAATATTTATTTTATTATTTATTTATTTGTGTCTGTGTGTTCTACAAAGTAAAACCATTTATTTATTGATTGATTGATCTATCACTTTTATATTCAACATTAAAACTTCCAGGAGATGAGTGTGATGAGGCTTTATTTTTTAAAGATATAAACAGAAAGGTATTTAAGAATTAAGAGCAGGGTTTTCATCGTTCACGTGAGCTCATCGAATATAAAAATCATAGTTTAATGTTTTTTTTTCTTCCGTGAAATATACAATATTCTGCAGCATCCACCCAACAACAGCCTCTTTCTTGTATCTTTGTCATTAAAAATTTAAAGACGAGAATGCAATGTTCAACGAAAAAGATACTAATGATTTCATGATTATTGACTAACTGAATCAAGTCAAGTCAAGTCACCTTTATTTATAATAATAATAATTCCTTACATTTATATAACGCTTTTCTGGGCACTCAATGCTTTACATAGAAAGGGGGAATCTCCTCAACCACCACCAGTATGTAGCGCTTTTAACAATACGCTTTTATGTAGCGCTTTTAACAATACAGACTGTGTCAAAGCAGCTTTACAGTATTAAATAGGAAAACAGTGTGTCAATAATGCAAAAGTAAAATAGTAAACACTCAATTTTCAGTTAAAGGCAGTTCATCATTGAATTCAGTGATGCCATCATCCAGCTCAGTTTGGTTCAAATAGAACATGAATCACTATTTATGAAAATATTTGCTAAAAATACTTTGTTTTCACAAATCTTTCAGCATGTGTCTCAATCTGATGTGTGGGCTTGTTGTAAATCCCCAGTGTGAGGGAACTAAAAATGTGTGACATGATGATAAACGGGGGTTTCCTACACAACTAACATTGTTTTCACACTGTGAACTCTTTTTTTCACTTTTCAAGTAACTTCTAGAAACTTGAACCTCGATACCTGCATTCTGACACGACACCGTGCTTTCAAAAAGTGACCTTGTGATTGAAATTACACATAAATCCATAATTTTAACAGAAAAAATATATTAAGACAATCAAAATACAACACCCAGAACAGTCTAAGAACCACTCAGTGATATTTGTAAGTCTCATGTGTGTAAGTGGCAGGTTCATTTAGAAAGTGACATTTAAAACAAACAAACAAAAGTATTAAAACAATCAAAATGCAACACTTTACTCTGATCATAAGCGCAACTTCAAGTAAATCCAGGCCAAACTAACCCAGCTCTCGGTTTCTAGCTATATCTGTCAGTGGATCACCAGCTTTCTGACAGATAGGCAACACCTAGTGAGACTTGGGAAATTCATGTCAAACAGGCACACCACCAGCACTGGCGCCCCTCAGGGTTGCGTCCTCTCCCCAGTGCTCTTCTCCCTCTACACCAACGACGGCACATCTAATAACCTCTCTGTCAAGCTCCTGAAGTTTGCAGATGACACTACAGTCATCGGTCTCATCCAGGGCAGAGACGAGTCTGCTTACAGAAAGGAGGTTAAAGAGCTGGCTGTCTGGTGCAGTCACAACAACCTGGAGCTCAACACACTCAAAACTGTGGAGATGAACGTGGACTTCAGGAGAAACCCCCCTGCTCTCTGTGTCATTCAGATTCCTGGGAACCACCATCTCTCAGGACCTGAAGTGTGACACTCACATCGACTCCATTGTTAAAAAGGCCCAACAAAGGTTGTACTTCCTTCGCCAGCTGAGAAGATTCAACCTGCCACAGGAGCTGCTGAAATTGAAATCTACTCTTCCGTCATTGAGTCTGTCCTGTGCACATTAAGAACTGTCTTGTTTGTTTAAGCTACAAAATCAGACATCAGAAGACTACAGAGAACGGTTCGGACTGCTGAAAGGATTGTTGGTGCTCCCCTGCCAACCCTCCAAGAACTGTATACATCCAGAGTGAGGAAAAGGGCTCAGAAAATCACTCTGGATCCCTCACATCCAAGCCATCTCCTTTTTGAACTTTTGGCATCTGGTCGGCGCTACAGAGCACCGAATACCAGGACAGCCAAGCACAAGAACAGTTTCTTTACCCAGGCAATCTACCTCATGAACAGTTAAATGTTCTCCCATTGTGCAATAACCTTATACGTATTTTTCACCCTACATCCTAGTACATCCCTACAACTTATTTTGTTTTTATTCTATCCCTATTCTATCTATAGCACACCTGTACATACAATTTATAATTTTTTTGTGGTTTATTTATATTTATGTATGTGTATGTTATTCACATCTTATTTTTATCATCTGTGTGTTGTTGTTGTCTCTGTGTACTGGAAGCTTGTGACAATAAAACAAATTCCTTGTATGTGCAAACATACTTGGCAATAAAGTTCTTTCTGATTCTGATTCTGAACTTATTTGACATAAACATCATTCAGGACATAATTTTAGTTTCCATACAAAAGTCTCTAAATCATACAATGACACTAAATCAGATTTTCAAGCACTAAAATATAAAGTCCAACACACACTTCATCATTTAATGTGACTAATTAGTGCCACCTGCTGATCACATGTGATGCATTGCACTGAGAGGACGATGATCTTTCTCAAAGATCTGACAAACTGAGTGAATATATAAAACCTGACATTTACATATAAGTTTCATAATGTTTATTTCTGTGTATTTCTTACAAATCCAACGGCTCACTGGCGTTTCATGATGTGAATGCGGCTATTGTGTGCAGGTTGTCATGGAAACTTCAAAGCAGCTTCTGGGGCCCCACTGTGTCAAAGTTAGAGAAGTTGGCCACGTATTGTTGAACAAACCGGCTTGCGCCGGACTTGAATGCAAGAAAACCAGGGGTTTAAAGCATGAAGGTTCAGCTTTAGAGTTGAGAGTTACAATACATCACTGTAAGTACATTTCACTTTTATTTTTGCATGTAGACCGTCTGCAGTATTTGGGTTTCTAGTCAAATGTGATTTATGATCTTAGCTGACTGTCACATAATCTCAGTTTAGTGTGTCGAATCAAAACTCATTTTAAATGCATTAATAGAACGTATATTATAAAAGGATGCAGCAAACTTCTAAACTAAACATAACTTGGGAGTGTCATTATATAAAACCATTCATTATGTTTTAAGTGACATTCCATTCCATTTGATTAGTAATTGTAGTAACACTTCTTATAGCAAATATCTGTTTTTTAAGGGGTGTTTGGTAAGCAGTGTTGGGAGTAACGCATTACAAAAGTAATAATATTACAGTAGTATATTACTTTTTTGCTGTAACGCAGTAATATAACGCATTACTAATCCAATTTGGGTAATATTATTACTCGTTACAATCTCAGTAATGCAAGTTACAACAACATATTTTAACTCAAAATTAAGTGGTGAATTTACTAACACCTCAAAACAGCACCAGAGAAAAAATTCCGTGGGTAAAATAGTTTGTCTATTTCCTGTTGCTGGAATTAGATGGTTCAGATGACTGCAGAGACGGATTCTACATTTGTGAGATGGACACACTCCCGTTATTTTCAGTTTATCGGAGAAAAGGATAAGAATGCATAGTCAGGTGCAATATGTGCGCCACCAAACTCTCAACATGGAGAAATAGCACGAGTAAAACCTGTAAACACCTGGACTAGTGCAACTAACACTAAGCTATCGGAGAGAGTTGCGGGGTCGGAGAAGTGAAAAAAGGTGGCGGACGAGCGCAGACAAGCAACAAAAATTAAGTTTAACTAAAAATAACAAAATCTGTTTTTATTAAATCATAGTCTATATATAAAATGAATTAATATGCAAAATATTTGACTTAAATAGCCCAATTAACAGATTAACAAAACGAAAGGAAAAGACTGAGAGATAGGCTATATGCTGCTACATGAGTTTGGTTCATATGCTATTTGTGTGGCGCGGCGCTCTACGAAAGTCCACGGAAAGGAAACCGAGATGACAGAAATAAAGTAAACACATTGCAGTTTCGAATTATCTGTATGACCAAAAATAACAGAGTATTTTTTTGTTGTTTGTTTCCGCTGTTCGATCGCGCTGGAGCCTCACACACACACACAGCATTGCAAACGTTGCAGCCTGTTCATTATCGGAATAAAATACAGTCAACCAAACATATAGATACACTGTTTAATTTAAATAGTGCGTAGTAGGCTACAATCCGTGCCGTTCAGCCTGAGCTTGGGCCAAACACACATTTGCTCATGTGACGAGGATGTTTTTTAAGTGTGTTAAGTAAGCCTGGTTTACATAATAAATAATAGTTTAGCATTGAAATACATCGCAAATATGGACACATTTAATTGGATTAATGCCGAATGAGAGAGGTAGGGTCACCTCAGATGACCGATGAATTGGGATCTCTACCAAAAGGCCACAGATACTGCCACTTCCAGTGTCCTGTGGGAGCCTCCTGCGCCCCTACTTTTTGGCGCAGGGCAGGTTTTACCACAAGAGGTCCAGCTACTGCTGCTATGGCACTACCCACTCAGTAAGACTGGATAACACTGGGAAAACGTACCCATTCCATTTGGCACTGGGATGTTGCGGAAGCTCCATCCTTCCCGAAGGAGGGTTCGGAAGCAAATACACACATGAACATCCCTTAGGTGCATATGGAAGATTGGAGGTGATTGTAACCCTCTTGGAGTGGCAGAAGTCTGCCGGGGAAACACGGGCTCTGAGGACATACCGTGGACTTTACACATATGGGATCTACTGGACGCTCCGCCACGTCTGGCTGCCGAGGGGACGGAGGAGCTCAACTGGGTCTACTATACGGACTTTCTGGAGCAGTTTTAGCAAGCCGACCAGAAGCCGGGCCACTCAATGCTTCTACCCGTTTGAGGTGAGAACACAGGAGGATACCGGATCCACGCAAAGGCTATAGACTCTAGCGAATGTGTTAGGGGTCGCCCAGGTCGCAGCTCTACAGATATCTGCCAGTGAGGCGCCACGAGCATCCAGGAGGATGCAACACTTCTAGTTGAGTGAGCTCGCAACCTGAACAGGCAGGGCACACCCTGTGCCTGATAAGCCAGGGTGATGGCATCCACTATCCAGTGGGCCATCCTCTGCTTAGAGACGGCATTCCCCTTCTGCCGGCCTCCGTGACAGACAAAGAGCTGGTCTGAGGTCCTGAAGCTTTGTGTCCGGTCTACGTAGCACCTTAAGTCTCGGACGGGACAGAGCAAAGCTAGGGCTGGGTCTTCCTCCTCCGGGAGCAGCGCTTGCAGGCTCACCACCTGATCCCTGAAGGGAGTAGTGGGAACTTTGGGCACATAGCTGGGCCGGGGCCTCAGAATTACCTGGGAGTCGGCTGGCCTGAACTCTAGGCACAAATCGTCGACCAAAAACGCGTGTAGGTCCCCTACCCTCTTGATGGAGGCCAGTATAAGTAGGAGTAGAGTTTTCATTGACAGAAACTTCAGCTCGACTGTCTGCAAAGGCTCAAATAGGCCCTGCTGTAGTGCTGTGAGCACTAGAGTCAGATCCCAAGAGGGTATAGAGGGGGGCCGTGGAGGATTTAGCCTTCTTGCCCCCCGAAGGAACCTGATGATCAGGTCATGCTTCCCCAGTGACTTCCCTTCTACGGGGTCGTGGTTAGCAGCGATTGCAGCGACTGCAGCAACATAGACTTTGAGGGTGGAGGGAGACAGCCTTCGAGCCAACCCTTGCTGCACAAAGGTCAGCACGACTCTGATCGGGCATCTTCAGGGGTCTTCTCGGTGAGAAGAACAGCACTCAAACGAACAGGTTCCACTTCAAAGCGTAAGCGTGTCTCATAGACGGTGCTCTCGCTGAAGTGATGGTGTCAACTACCTCTTGGGGTAGGTCACCTAGAACCTCCGCGTCCAGTCCAGGGACTAGACATGAAGTTTCCAGAGGTCTGGACGCGGGTGCCAAAGGGTGCTCCGTCTCTGGCTTAGCCTTATGAAGTAGGGGCTGTAAAACCTCGTCTTCATATCGGCTGGAGGGACCGGCTATATCGCATCCTTCGCCAGCAGGACTGCGATCTCTGCACGCAAGACAGGGGCATCTGCTGCTTTCACTGAAGCAAAGTGTATGCCCCTGAACTTGGGAGGGCGCCGGGCGAACTGAATCGCATAGCCGAGCCTGATGGTTTGAAGAAGCCATCGAGACAGGCTGGGTAGCGCTAGCCAGGCTCCCAGACGCCGCACAAGTGGTACTAACGGAACTACAGGTGTACCCGCAGTGGGACAGCGAGGAAGAACTCAGGGACCCGGCCCGGGCGTCTCGTAGCCGGTCGGAGGCGGGGTCTGAGTGTGTGTAACACTGACCTGCGTTCGAGCAGAGGGTGCGTGGGTAGTCCATTGGTTCGTCCTCCTGATCCCCACTGCTGCTCACTGGCGAGAGAGGAGAGTGAGTGTGATACGACACTGGATCGTCCACAACCCCCCGTCCCCTTTGGAGACCCAGAGATAGAAGAAATTGCTCTTTTGTCGAGTATTTGGGTACCACCGACAAAAAAAAAAAAAAAAAGATTCTCCACCCGTCCCTCCTACGAGGAAGGGAGTGGTGTGTTCACCGTCTCCCGAAGAGCAGGTCCCTCCACCTCTAGGTTGCCCGTCTCAGGGCCTCTTGCTCTTTCACTTGCCACCAGGTTTGGCGGGGGCCTGGACGGGCGGGGCGGCTGCCCTGCGACCGGCTGCCCTGCGACCGGCTCCATGGCCGTACAAGGAATTCTTGACGTCATGAAGGCCACCTTCATGACGTCAAGCATTGCGTTTCCTTTTAGTCGGTCACTCTCGACGTCACGTCGGATGACTGACGAATTGGGATCTCGCTTAGAGAGACCAATCTACTTCGAGTGTAAACTAAACGAGCCAATGCACATTGGCATGCGATTATTGCATCCAGCTGCTGCTGATCACAGCGTGAGTATAAGTAAGCAGCAGATGCAGCGCATATTTAGCTTTTCACTTCAGAGCCGAGCGATCACATCGTTCTGCTCCTGACTACTCTACTGAGAGAAGAAGACTGAACGAGTTCAGCGCGCTCTTTGAGATCTCTTCGTGTTGGCGGTACGGCGCTTCATAGCAATACACTAAAAATCACTTGGAACACCAAAGCAACCCAAAGCAACACACTATCAACCACCCAGAACAATCTAGCAACTGCATAACCACCCAGAACACAGAAGAAACTTCATAGCAACACACTCGCAACCACCCAGAACACAGGAGCAACTGCATAGCAACACACTAACAAACACTCTGAACCTCTTAGTAAATAAACCGCAACACCCTGGCAACCACCAACAAAACCAGAGCATTGTGACAGTGACTCTGCATTTAAATCACATTTTATAAACAAACATTTCAATTAAGATGCATTTACCTAAGAATCAAAATGACTTAATTTTGATAAGATACTAAATCTTTTAATCTGAAAAATTTAAGCAGGTTTAAGTTTAAAACAAGAAAAAAATCTGGCATTGGAATGAGAAAAAATACACTTAATTCAAAGGGGAAACAAATTTATTTTTCTTACCCCAATAAAATATATTTTTCTTGTTTTTCAAGCATAAACTTAAAATAGACTTCAATCTTAATTTTAAATCTCAAGTAAATGTATCTTGATTTAAGAAAAAAATCTTAAATTGTTAGAATGGTTAAATTCTTAAATCTAATAAAGTGTTACCTTAATTTGAATGGTGTTTAAAAAGATGTCTTCCTCTCTCTGACTGTAGATGTTCACGCTGTCTGAGCTGTGGTCCGGCGGTCAGCGTCAGGGTAGTTATAAGTTGCTGAAGCCGTGGTGGGAGGTCTTCATGGACTACCTGCTGGTGCTCATGCTGATGGTGTCCATCCTCGCTGGGACGCTCCAGCTGTCAAGGGACGGAGTCGTGTGCGTCCCTGTACACTCCTCTTCCATCAACTACAGCTCTCCCATGGAGCCTGTGTCTGATTCTATCTTTAGAAGCCCACCAGATTCACCCAAGATCCCTGTGAAGGGGCGACGTACCAACCTTGACTTCCAGCAGTACATCTACATCAGCCAGGTTTGCTATCACGAGGCGTTGCCCTGGTACTCAAGGTTTTTACCATATGTGACGCTGCTCCATACGCTGGTTCTCCTGGCCAGCGGCTGCTTCTGGTTCCACTTCCCGCTCACATCTGCTCGCATCGAGCACTTCCTATCGCTTCTTGCCAAATGTTGCGAATCGCCCTGGACAACAAGGGCACTTTCTCTTACAGCCAAACTGGACACACGTTTCTCTGAGACAGAACAAGCAGTGCAACCCAAAGTTCAGGTAACATCTTCGTACAAAACGCGCAAGTCAAGTCTGGACTCGGGGACGGACAGCCCTTTGTTGGCGGGGACTGATAGTGCGTCCACTACAACACAACCGTCTCCCTCAACGTTGTCTCATTGCTCAACGCTCTCTGCTATGTCACTCACGGAGCCGGTTTTGCCTGTGCAAGTCGTTCCGGACACTTCCAGACAGGGAGCCACATTGGACCGCAGTGACAGAGAGCTGGCCAGAGCGCTGTTCGAGAGAGTGCGCAGGTTTCGTGCTCACTGCGAGAGTTCAGATGTTATCTATAAGGTAAAGCCCAAAGTATACGTACACCTTGTGGAACAACTGATTAGCACAAAACCAAGCTAATGTGCACATGTGACCTGCTCATACAAAGATCGTATTGTGCATGTACAGTATGCATGTACTATTTTGATGACAAAATTTGCATCATGCACACTGTATGCGGACCCTCGCATACGAGTAAAAACTGATATACTTTGATAACATTCAAGCAAATTCTCATTCAGAAATTGCAATGTCTCATTAAACCATGGTGACAATTGCACTTGCAGTTTAGAGGATGTAAAAACACTGTTTTTAAAATAACATGTTACAAATACTGCATCTCTTCCTGTAGGTGTACACTGCTCAGACGGTGTTCAAGGTTCTAAAGTTTATTTTGATTGTGAGCTACACCACTCCTCTCCTGGGCTCAATCTCCTTTAGTCACATCTGCCAACCTCGCTCTTACACTCTGACCGGCTACAGCATCTTCCATTGCAGTCACTCGCTGTCCTCTGTCCTGCGCAAGCTAATGCAGGCCTACGTCTTGCTGCTCTTTCTGTTCGGTCTGCTGGGCATCTATGCCCTGTCCTGGATCTTCCACAAGTATGGGTGCCCCAAGACGCAAGAGGACTGTGTCAATGTAGTTTGTAGTCTATCTCCATGTGTGAGTGTCGAGAGATTCTGGTGACTGGACTAACATGTCTGCTTGTGTGCCAAGAACTAAGAACTAAATGCAAATAGTTAGCGCCAGGCCACCTTTTCAGCAGCATTGGAATTTTTTTCCATTCATTTTTTTTCCCATAGGGATTTTAAACATCTATTAAAAGCATTTTAAGCCAAACCAACCATTTCTGAGGTGAAACACAACATTATAAACTTTTATTTAAATCAAAAAAGTATTAGAGAATTGGACAAAAAGATAAAGGCACAAGACTGAACTGAATGGCTTTAATGAGAAAAATAAGTAAAATCCCATGAAGAATAATGAATGGCATAATCAAGTTTAAACTATTTATTTAAAATGGTTGATTATATCTATAGAAAAATATTTTAAATCATTGTAAAATAAAACTTGATTATATAATTTGCAGGGCTTCATGGGAGTTGGTGATTCAACAAATGCCTATACCAGGGCTGGGCAACTTCGGTCCTGGAGGGCTCCAACCCTAATCAGACACACCAGTGTATACAGTAGCTTTCTACTGATCTTGAAGACATTGATTAGCTTGTTGAGGTGTGTTTGATTAGGGTTGGAACTAAACTCTGCAGGACAGTGGCCCTCCAGGACCGAAGTTGCCCAGCTCTGGCCTATACCATCAATTAACAACATCAGACCTATGAGTCCCTATGGAGAAAATGAATGAAAATTAATGAATTTCTACTTGGGAACTAGGGCTGTGCGATATTGAAGAAAATTGCGATATGCGATAACTCATTAAATAATGCGATATATTCGATATGCGATACGATAATGATTAAATTGTCACATGCTCAGATGAAACAGTTTTACTCAGCGGTTGCTGAGTCAGGTCTGTGAACTTCTATAATTATCTTGTGTCATATATATATGGTTATTTGTATGTATGTATGTACCAAGAGTTCCTTTAAAACCCCAACAAGTTCCTTAATAATAAAATAATAATAATAATTCCTTACATTTATATAGTACTTTTCTGGGCACTCAAAGCACTTTACATAGAAGGGGGGATCTCCTCAACCACCACCAGTGTGCAGCATCCACCTGGATGATGCGACGGCAGCCATATTGCGCCAGAACGCCCACGGCACACCAGCTTATTGGTGGAGAGGAGACAGAGTGATGAAGCCAATCAGCAGATATGGGGATGGTTAGGAGGCCTTGATTGTCAGGGGCCAATGGGCGAATTTGGCCAGGATGCCGGGGTTACACCCCTACTCTTTTTCGAAGGACATCCTGGGATTTTTAATGTGCTTTGAATTCAATATGCACTGATTCTTATTTAAACTACAAAAGTTATTTAGGTAAGAGCAGTGAGTGATTTTCTCTTTGTCTTTTGTTCATGGCCCCAAATATTGCGATATTTCGATAATTTCGATATATTGCACAGCCCTATTGGGAACCCAACTGTCGCATTCTGTAAATTTAAAGAAAACTATTCTGAAAATTTGATTAAATCTGCCTAATTATCAGGTCTTTGAGGCAGTACTCTTTCCAGAGTCTACGTGAGAAAGGATCCATGCTAGATGTACCAGACCTTCATAATGACCTCGCCTTCCTCTTGCACATGGCCGACCAGTACGACCCTCTACTAGCCCAGCGCCTGTCTGTCTTCCTCTCACCAGTCAGCGAGACTCGACTGCTGGAAGAAAGTCTGGAGCGTCGCTGGGGAGCTGATCGCTTGCGGTCAATGATCACGTCTGACCAGCAGGGACGCTCTCTGCTGCAGCTCGTGGCCCTTCCTCGCCTGCCAGCGGCGCTGTTCACCTTCAGCCAGCTAGAGGTGTTGAAGTTGGAACTTATTGGAGACGCCAAACTGACAGCACAAATATCTAACATGACCGCACTCAGGTAAGTATTTTAATTTCAATTGCACCTAATTTTCCAGATAATTGAATTGCGCATAATTTTGCAGTCTTACACAAACTGATGTTAACATGTAATGAGGGTATAACATTTAGAATGATAAACGTTTTAATAGGGCTGGGACAATAAATCGATGCATCGTGAATCGAGAAATTATTCTGCATCGATTCTGAGATTTTCCAAAGGCAACGCGATTCTCTCTTGAATCGATTCTGAGCTTAGTGTTTAACAGCAGATGGCACTGCATGCTTTAGAAATAGCTGTATTCTGCTTGCTTCCAGTTCCTGACACATGAACCATTTGAACCTAAAATAATCATTCATAAAGTTCGAAAAGGTTGAAGCGAATTACAAGGATGTTCACAGTGGGCTGTGTTTACATTAATCTTGCATCATAAAAGCATTAAAGCCGATGTGCAAGTACATTTAACCACTTACATTACTCAGCCGAACGCACAAGCGCTCTTCTTCATGAGTATTTGAGTGTGCGGTTAAAAACTAGCCTAGAGCGCCATCTGCTGTTAAAAACTAAGCTCAGAATCGATTTGAGAGAGAATCACGATGCATTCCGAAAATCTCAGAATCGATCCACAAATCGCGATGCATTGATTTATTTTCCCAGCCCTACGTTTTAATCTGGATTCTCTTCTCATTAGAGAGATGCACCTTTACCACTGCACTGCATCAGTGGAGCCTGCAGCACTGCAGCACCTTCAGGAACATCTAGAGACTTTACATCTAACTTTCACCCAAGCTGCAGAGATCCCAGTCTGGATTTATTCCCTCCGTGGCCTTCAAGAGCTGCACCTCACTGGGAGGTTGAGCAATGAAGGTGGGATGGGGCGCGGATGGGTCCTTGGCAGCCTTCGACAACTGCGTCATCTCCGCGTCTTGGTGCTGCGCGGTATGCTGCAGAAAGTTCCAGGGGAGCTGAGCGAATTGGCAGGGAGTCTGCTAAAACTGGAGATATATAACGAGGGCACCAGGATATTGGTACTTGCGGGATTGAGGCGTTCTGGATTTATTCCCTCCGTGGCCTTCAAGAACTGCACCTCACTGGGAGGTTGAGCAATGAAGGTGGGATGGGGCGCGGATGGGTCCTTGGCAGCCTTCGACAACTGCGTCATCTCTGCGTCTTGGTGCTGCGCGGTATGCTGCAGAAAGTTCCAGGGGAGCTGAGCGAATTGGCAGGGAGTCTGCTAAAACTGGAGATATATAACGAGGGCACCAGGATATTGGTACTTGCGGGATTGAGGCGTTTGACTGGACTGGCAGAAGTGCAACTGCAAGGATGCCAGTTGGAGAGGCTGCCATCAGCGCTTCTGGCGCTTACAGGTCTACGCAGTTTGGACCTGCAACACAACAGTCTGCGTACTCTAGAAGAGCTGTTAGGATTGCAGCATCTGCGGCGTCTGTCCTGCCTACGACTCGCACATAACCGCGTTCTGGCTCTTCCGGCCAGTGTAGGAGTGCTACGCTCACTGGAGCTCTTGGATTTGGCACACAATCAGCTGCAAAACCTACCTTTGGCGCTCTTTACGCTGCATAAGCTGCGACGCCTGCTTTTGGCAGGAAACCTTTTGGAAGAGTTGCCAGCTGAAATCGGAGCTTTTAAGCTTCTTAGCGAACTAGACCTGAGCGCCAACAGGCTTGAACATCTCCCCAAGGAACTGTTTGAAAGTTGTGTAGAGCTTCGCAACTTGAATGTTTCGAATAACTCTCTAGGGTCTTTGCCCGCTGGTTTTGGTGGCCTGACTCAGCTTTCGCGTCTGGATCTACGGGGAAATAGTCTAGAGGAACTGCCAGTCGAGCTGGGGTGTTGTTTTGGGCTTAGTGGAGGCGGTTTGCTAGTGGAAAACTGGCTGTTGCACACCCTACCTCGGCAGGTCAGGGATGTCCTACAGCAGCCTCGCTCTTGCCCTTCTTCTGAACCTCCATCACGACCTAATTCTGACTGCTTTCCTACCTTTTCAGCTGCACAGTGGAGCTTCCACTCCGCACTGGAATCTCGGATATAAAACATCAGCTTCAGACTGAACTCATGAACAATATTTAACTAATATTACTAAAACGAGTCTGGAAAAGCCAGTCTTTTGCCAAGAAGACTTTAAATGTGATGCATAAGGATACACTGATATGACTGAAAAATTTGAAACATGTTTCTATACTTAACCGGGTAACTGTCACTAGCCCAATTAACCCATTGTAAACCTTTCTAATCCTCATTTTGAAAAGCAAGACTCAAACTTTCATATTCGTTTTTTCTTCTTCTTCAGAATCTCCATTTATGACGGAATGCAAACTATTCATGCTTTACAGTCCTAATATGGATCCCCATATTTTGTTTTGTAGTATATGTTTTGTAAAATATATTTGATTAAAAAAAGAAGTTAAATGTAGTGCAGTGCATTTTACATTTCCTTAAACTTATATATCTTTATCTATTTCATTTCAATATTTTTTTCCACTTCCACAATAATGTGCCAAAATTAAGTCTGTGCTCCAAAACATTCAAGATTTTCAATTAAGTTGGAAATATCATTATTAGGTCTTTGCTTAAAAAGTGGGACTGACAGTTAACGGTTTAACTATAAATTTGAAAAGTGGGTTAGTTTCCTTCACTCTTTGTGTAAGACACTCTAAGCGTATCCCTACAATATATATATATAAAAAAACTATAACATAACATTTGATTTGGTTGCATGTAGCCTACAGTACTAGTCAAACGTTTGATCTTAAAACCTTGTGATATAAAGGCTTATGCTGAAATAGTTTAAATTATTTGCATATGCATGAATTTCTTAACAAAATATCAAACTTTATCTATTCTGTTGATTTTTACTTAATCAGACAACAGTAATTTTTTTCTTAATGTAGGCAGAAAGTATAATTAAAACTTTAGTTTACAATATTTGTTCACCAAAACAAATGAAAGCAAATGAGTTCAATAATATCTGGACGCATGAATATATGCTAATCAGATATGACATTTAGTTTAATTCTGTGGACATTAAACATCTCTCCAGGATTATTTTGTCTCTCATACTAAAATACTTAAACACCTTAGAAAACTGATAATGGTAGTTGCCATCAAATCATATTTACTCAGAAATCTTTTAAATATTATGTAATTACCATGGTAGATCTATAATGGCACTACTGAGCATAGTGTTTTAATTATAGTATTTTACCGCCATAGTATTTGATTTGAATAGGTTCCTTGATATGAAGCAACATATCAATCATAATATTACACTGAGTTAAATGTTTTAAATCAGTTATATTCAATCCTAACTTATAATAAAATGTAAATAAACGTTTCTGTCACTTACAAAAGTCCCGCCGAGCTCAACTGCGCCAACGCGAGCGCGACTTCAACACGCCCAAGTGCCAGTACCAACATCCAATCACGATACGGTTACATTTAGATTGACACGTTCGCGAGCCAATGGGAGCGTGCGTTCTGCCAATGAGAGCGCGCGTTCTCTTCAGGAGGCTGGATTTCCGGGCGGTAGTATAAACTGCGGCCTGGCGCGTGCGGTTTGAGGCAACAGCTGCGTTCGTGTGCTCATTTTCTTCACGCACCGTCACCTCAAGGTAACTATAAATTTAGTTTTTGTTTAGATATGGATATGTTTCTTCGTAACGTTTTTTTTTTT